AACATAAATGTGAAACTTGTGTAGTAGAGGCAAAACTAACAAGGTCATCATTCCAAACGATAGAAAGGAATACTGAACCACTTGATCCAATGCATAGTGATGTTTGTGACGTAAAGTTTGTTTAAACTAGAGGTGGTAATAAGTATTTTATCACTTTCATTGATGATAGCACAAAGTATTGCTATGTATATTTGCTAAAAAGTAAAGATGAAGCTGTAGAGAAATTTACTCTCTACAAGCAAGAAGTTGAAAACCAACTTAATAAAAATATTAAGATGGTAAGAAGCGACCGAGGTGGTGAATATGTCAAACCATTTAGTGCGCTTTGTGCACAACATAGAATTATTTACGAAGTCACACCTCCATATTCTCCATAATCGAATGGCATTGCTGAACGGAAAAATTGTACCTTAAAGGATATGATGAATGTAATGTTAATAAGTTCTGAGTTGCCATAGAACATGTGGGGAGAAGCCATTTTATCGGCTAATTACCTCCTAAATAAGGTTCTGCGTAAGAAAATCAATAAGACCCCCTGTGAATTGTGGAAAGGAAGGAAACATTCCTACAAATACAAATACTCGAGTTTAAAATTTGAGTTTTGCTACAGTAGAAAGCTCTCAAAAATAGCCGCTCTCACATAAAGTCAAATCTCAACTCAAATTAAAAGCGCAAATCAAAAACTCGAATCAACGAACTAAACCGAGCAATTCCCTTTACTTTTGGTAGATTCTAATTCTCAGTGGAATAGAAAGCACGGCAGTAACACTAACATGGATAATCTCCTTACTATTGAACAACCTTAGTGTACTGAAGGCCACCCAAGAAGAGTTGGACACACATGTTGGAAAACACAGATGAGTGCATGAATCAAACCTCAACAACCTCAAATTCCTTCAAGCCATCTTCAAGGAAACACTGCGCTTGTACCCACCAGGTCCCATAACTGGCCCACACGAGGCCACCGAAGACTGTCACGTCGACAATCACCACATTCCCAAGGGCACCCATTTAATCATCAACATCTGGAAACCCCACCGGGACCCGTGCATGTGGCCCGACCGGACCGAGTTCAGAGCTGAAAGGTTCATGACAACGAATGCGGATCTAAATTTTAAAGGTCAAAATTTTGAGGACATTCCGTTTAGCTGGGGTCAAAGATTATGCCCGTGGATGACATTTGGAACCCTAGTGGTTCAGCTGGTGCTGGCTCGGTTGGTTCAAGAGTTTGACATGAAGGATTGGGAAACCAGTGGATATGCATGAAGGATTGGGAATTGCCTTGCCAAAGCTCAACCCGCTTAAAGGACACGATCCACTATGGATTCTTACATCCACCATTTTATATTATATAGGAATGAAAGTGCTTTTGGCTCGACATCGATTGTTCACCGAACTGTTCGGCAGATTCCCACGCGTTACGCACCCGTTCGCCACTTTGTTCTCAACTGTTCCCACTGGAAGGGCGAGACAAGCTACCTTTAGCTAGGAGCCTCTTTTCCTTCTGCCCAGCTCCCCGAAAACAACGTTCGACTTGCATGTGCATCTCTCTCAATCTGCACTCATTCATGCTCGGTATAGGAAGCATCTATCTTAGTCTTTGGCTTTCCAGACAGACACGTTAAGCAAGTCAGTTAGTTCAATGTCATATTAGGGGGTTGGAGCTCGGTAGCTAAGGAAGTGGGGTTGTGATATAAACCGTATCATATCATACCTTGCCTTCCTCCGTAGCTCTAGGAATGCTTTTGAATTAAGCAGAATATTAACGCCAAGTTATGTACAGAGTATTTGGCCTTTAACGCTTTGAATTTTTCTAACCATTAAATTTGATCAAAATTAAATGAGATTAAAAAAATATGCAAAACAGTCAATTTCTGATGGAGATTTATGAAATCAACTAAAAAAAATAAAACTGATAATTTCTTTTTTTTTTTTGTCCTACGGGAGTTTCTTCCCGAAAAACTAAAAGATAAGGAAGACTGGATCATAATGATGTGTTTGACTTTTAAAACCTAAAAGCTAAAAGAATGAAATCCCTGTTCCAAAAACTAATAGCCGGAAGCCAACTTCCTAAGATTGAGAAGATTGAGCCTGAAATCTTACTTTTTCTTTTAAAAAAACAAGTATTTTCCATTAAAAACTCTAGCAAAACTGAATCGAAAAAAGATTAGAGGGGAAAAGTGTGTATATAGTATACTATATACACTACAACAAAAAAGCTTAGTCGTCGCAAAAGAGTACGTTGTCGTCGGTAATATTATATTTACGACAACATGTCGTCACAAATTTGTCGCCGCAAACAGTTTGATGCAAATTATATATTTCCGACGATAAAGTTTTGAGATGTCGTCGCTAATACATTAACGACAACTGTCGTCATGAATGTTCTGTCAAACTTGTCGTTGATGATGACATGTTCAGTTATATTTGCGACGACATATGTCGTCGCAAAAAGGTTAGATGTCGTCGCTAGTGATTTAGACTATTTGCGACCAGTTTTTTTATATTTGTCGTTGCAAAAAATGTTTTTCTTTTTTCCCTAATTTCCTAATAATATTAATTATTAATATATAAATTAGAAGAAAATTTAATAATAAAATAAATCAATAAAATTGTTATTTGCTAATAAAAGATTCATATAAAAAAGTCAACACAATAATAAAACAAGTCTTAAAAAGTAAATTAATCAATGCATACAAAAAAGTATTGATAATAAGAAAAATAAAAATAGATATTTTAATCTCCTAAATTATCCACATTGTCATCCTCATCCTCATCTTCTTCGTTTCCCTCTTGCGGCGGCGGAAAACGAACCCACGATTCAGGACAATTAAGAGGATGTTTGGTTTGTGTATTCAGAATCATGATTCAGAACTATTCTCGTTTGACGTGTATTTTTTATGAGAGAAAACACTGTAGAGAACCATGAATCATGATTCAGAATCATGGACAAATATAGGACACAAATGCCCCTTAAGTGGCAAGAAGTTAATTTTGGGATTCATCGTGCACATGGCTTCTATTATCATTTGTTGGTTGGGGGTTGTGATATAAACCGTATCATATCATACCTTGCCTTCCTCCGTAGCTCTAGGAATGCTTTTGAATTAAGCAGAATATTAACGCCAAGTTATGTACAGAGTATTTGGCCTTTAACGCTTTGAATTTTTCTAACCATTAAATTTGATCAAAATTAAATGAGATTAAAAAAATATGCAAAACAGTCAATTTCTGATGGAGATTTATGAAATCAACTAAAAAAAATAAAACTGATAATTTCTTTTTTTTTTTTGTCCTACGGGAGTTTCTTCCCGAAAAACTAAAAGATAAGGAAGACTGGATCATAATGATGTGTTTGACTTTTAAAACCTAAAAGCTAAAAGAATGAAATCCCTGTTCCAAAAACTAATAGCCGGAAGCCAACTTCCTAAGATTGAGAAGATTGAGCCTGAAATCTTACTTTTTCTTTTAAAAAAACAAGTATTTTCCATTAAAAACTCTAGCAAAACTGAATCGAAAAAAGATTAGAGGGGAAAAGTGTGTATATAGTATACTATATACACTACAACAAAAAAGCTTAGTCGTCGCAAAAGAGTACGTTGTCGTCGGTAATATTATATTTACGACAACATGTCGTCACAAATTTGTCGCCGCAAACAGTTTGATGCAAATTATATATTTCCGACGATAAAGTTTTGAGATGTCGTCGCTAATACATTAACGACAACTGTCGTCATGAATGTTCTGTCAAACTTGTCGTTGATGATGACATGTTCAGTTATATTTGCGACGACATATGTCGTCGCAAAAAGGTTAGATGTCGTCGCTAGTGATTTAGACTATTTGCGACCAATTTTTTTATATTTGTCGTTGCAAAAAATGTTTTTCTTTTTTCCCTAATTTCCTAATAATATTAATTATTAATATATAAATTAGAAGAAAATTTAATAATAAAATAAATCAATAAAATTGTTATTTGCTAATAAAAGATTCATATAAAAAAGTCAACACAATAATAAAACAAGTCTTAAAAAGTAAATTAATCAATGCATACAAAAAAGTATTGATAATAAGAAAAATAAAAATAGATATTTTAATCTCCTAAATTATCCACATTGTCATCCTCATCCTCATCTTCTTCGTTTCCCTCTTGCGGCGGCGGAAAACGAACCCACGATTCAGGACAATTAAGAGGATGTTTGGTTTGTGTATTCAGAATCATGATTCAGAACTATTCTCGTTTGACGTGTATTTTTTATGAGAGAAAACACTGTAGAGAACCATGAATCATGATTCAGAATCATGGACAAATATAGGACACAAATGCCCCTTAAGTGGCAAGAAGTTAATTTTGGGATTCATCGTGCACATGGCTTCTATTATCATTTGTTGGTTGTCGAGCACTTTGCATTGCTCGACATAAATGTTGTTCAGCCAGGTTTGGACATGCTAGGGAAAATTAATTGACGACGACCAGCGTGAATGAACCTTCGCCAGCAGACTATGCCATCTGCGTGGTTCTTTCCCCCTCCATCTGACCCACCCTGGAAAGGTAAAGGATGAATAAAAATAATATAATATGTTATGTTAAATATGAAAAAAGAAATAATTTTAAAATTTACTTACAAATGCTTGTTCCGTGTCCGGGTAGATAAAATTATGCCCATGACGATGCATGTCACCCTAGTTGTCAATTAATGATCCGAGCTCATGGGTCTCGGGATTTCCCTAATCAAGTTGAATGTGTTAGAATAATTATTAAGCCAAAGTGAAAAAAAAAACTTAACAAGTATGCAAATTAATATTACCTTATCGAAATGATACTCAGAGTATGACTTTCTACCATGGAAGTTAGACCACTTTTGACTGCCACGGTTTTGTTGATTTGTAGCACATTTTTTCTAGTAATGATCATACATGAATCAGTAACATACTTAATAATTAAATAAACCAAGTAATCAAAAATAAGAAGACATAATACCTGACTAACTACTTTGGTTCTATTCGTCGTCACTACGAATGTCTTCAACATCATCAGCACTTTCTATGTCGTCATCATCTTCAAAATCGACGAGCTCATCTTCGATATAGTCAAACACAGTTTCATCATCACCATCGTCAATAAAGTCATCTTCATCTTTAGTTGGCGACTTGTCCCGCAAGTATGCGTCGACGTCAGACGTGACAGTATTTGCTTCGATATCAGGCCGATCAAATGTTAAGTTGTCCAGTTCAGGTAGGTCAACTACTAACTCAAGAACATTTCGTGATTCTGTATCTTGAACTATCGTGACCTCGTTGACGTCCTCTTCTGGAAAATTCCATATATGTCGATGCCCAAAATGTTCCATAACTTTCCAATTCGGGTCGTTAAATAAATCATCAATGTAAAAAACCTGTTCCGCCTGGGAAGCTAGAATTAAATGTTCATTCTCATACTACGAGTCCTTAATGAAGGTACTTATTCTATTCTTGTATTGTTAAATTCTTCTTCTTTCTGTTCGAGTGTCGAACCACTTACACTTAAAATGAATATTTACTCTGTAAATGAATATTGCTAGACTAAGAAGAAAATATTATTTTAAAGAAGTTATTTATTTATTAATAAATGAATAATTTATTAATTTATCGATAAATATATTTTTTTTATTAAGATTCGTAATGAGCTATAAATAACAAAGATAATGGTACGTGGTTAAAAAAAATAAGATATCTCCGTTGTTTGCAATAAAAGATAAAGAAGACTGGATCAAAATGAGATGTGTTTAACTTTTAAATTTACCTCGGCCTTATCGCCTTATTTTGTGAATTCGTGTTAAACTATATGGGACACAACCAACATATGAATTATTCGTAGAGAAAAAATAAATAAATAAAAACAAGAACTACACACGCACATTAATTAAGAACCTTACATGCATCATAAGAAGCGGCAAAAGTCCATAAAAGCTATATATTTTTCTAATGTCAACATCCGTACATAAAAGCTACATATATAGCGACTACTTGAGTTCCTCAATAAGGATAACAGTAGAATAATTCTTAACTAGAAGACTAGAAGCATATATTAGCACCATATTTTTATGTAGCATACATTGGCAAATATAACTAGTATTTGATGCTTCAAAGGCACTCGTAGAGCTTCGTGGGAAGGCGAGGATAGAGGAAAACATCAAGAGAATTTAGCTTTGGTAAGGCAATGCCTAGTCCTTCACGCATGTCCACTGGCTTATCATCCTTGGTTTTAAATTCAAACCCTTGAACCAAACTAGCCAGCATCAGTTCAACCACCAGCAAACCAAATGTCATCCCCGGACATGATCTTCTACCCGAACTAAAAGGAATATACTGAAAATTCTGGCCTCTAAAGTTGAGGTCCTCATGGGTGGTCATGAACCTTTCGGGACGGAACTCGCACGGGTCGGCCCACATGCGCGGGTCCCGGTGCAATTTCCATATGTTGACAATCAAGCGGGTGCCCTTGGGGACATGGTGGCCACCGACGAAACATTCTTCTGTGGCCTCACGTGGCCCCGTTATTGGGCCTGGCGGGTACAACCTTATCGTCTCCTTGACAATGGCTTCGAGGAATTTGAGGTTGCTGAGGTCTGATTCTTGAACCCATCTGTCCCTTCCCACGTGGGTGTCCAACTCCCTTTGAGCAGCCTTCATCACACTTGGGTTGTTCAATAGTAAAGAGATTGCCCATATGAGTGTAACAGCTGTGCTTTCTGTTCCGGTTAGGATTAAAATCTGTCAAAAGAAAAGGATGATTAAGCAAGTTATAAAATAATTGCCCATATTAATATTAGATTGAGCAAATATCATGTTATACTTTCTCTACGGTCATCCAAGAAGGTCATATTTTCCCGTAACATATAACAGTAAAAAGCGTAATATAAAGATGCAACTCGTGCATAGCCTGAGTTAAATTTTTAATGAGTATCATTTTATTTGGATGTGCTAAAGGTTATTCCAATTCTTTTCTTCGTTTACTTAAAAAAAAAAAAAAAAAAAAAAGGAACAACCATAACATCATATTTATTTAAAAAAAAAGATAATTATAATTTGGGATAACTAAGGGCCGCTTAATTCGCTAATTCGATTTGAGATATGACTTTATGTGAAAGTTTTTACAATAGTAAAAAAGTTGGATATAACTGTTTCTGAGAGCTTTTTACTGTAGCAAACTTGAATTCTAAACTCGAGTCGGTAAAATAAACGGGGCCTAAATTTTTAATTAATGTCAAACATTTTCAACGTAATGATAACCGATAAAGATAAATATAATTTTAAAAAAAGGCTATTTAACATACCAATGCTGTGGCTTTAATGATAGTGTCACGGCTATAACAAGACAACATAGCATCGTCCTCTTCAATGCTGGATAACATAACGTCCATAAGGTCCCTCTCAACATCACCATTGCTACTACTCTTATCATTACTGCGTTGATCATCAAGTACTTCTCTAGCTTGACGATGCTCTTCGAGCCACTTCCCCAACACCAGATCAATCTCCTTAAAAACGCGCTTCATAGAGCTCACATGCCCATGGATGTCCAAACACTCAACCCACGGAATTGCGTCCGACCACACGAATACCCCACTCAGGTACAGAGCCTCCTTTATCGCCTTCTTGAACCTCCGCGCATCGGTGTCCGCATCACCGACGGCGCTCTTGATAAACCGCTTGCCGACGATCAGCCTTGCGTTTAAATTAAACGTCAACTGCTCCAACAGCTCGCTCAGAGGTGCCAGAGGCCCTAATTTTGTGTACTCGAAGTACAAGCCCTTGATGAACGAGCCAAACTCCGAGGTTCGGATGTGCTGTAGCGATTCAAGCCGGTGGCTTGACAGAAGCCGGAGAGTGACCATCTTGCGGACGTCGCGCCAGTAATTGCCGTAAGACGAGATGGCGAAGGCGGCGCTGTCGTATAATATATACTTCCCTACCGCTATGCTTGGGCGGTTGGCGAAGAGTCTGTCGTTTGTGGTGAAGCATTCTTTTACGAGTTCCCAACTGCTCAGCACCAGGGCTCGGTGTTGGCCGAGCCTGAGTGAATAGATTGGGCCGTATTTGTCGGCCATGGCTCCGAGAATTAGAGCCACTGGGACTTGACCACCGAGAAGATGGAGATGACCTATGATTGGCAAAGCCCCAGATGGTTCAGGGACGCAAATTTTGTTAGTAATATTGTTCTTTTTTCGGTTGCATTTGTTGGGCTCATGTTGATGGATTATCATTTTGAAGGAAGCATAGAGAAGCACGAGACTCAAAGTGGCCAGAGCTAGGGCTTGTAAAGGAAAGGAGACCAAACTCTCCATGGTATTAGATGTCTTGAAAAGCTAATTAAGTTAGCCAGCGTATGTACTTCTCTGCGTGGGACTTGGGAGTACGTGTATTATTTATAAAGAGCTCGTGGGGGGGTCAGGTTTTGTTTGAACCATAGACCTCAATAATGCTAAGGGCCACTAAGGAGACATTTATTTTAAGGATTTTATCAGGTTTAGAATCACGATTTTTACTTCTGTTATATATGTCATCTAAATTGCAATATATATATATATATATACTATTCGTCACATTTCATGCATGGTGGTGCCTCTCTGGTCCTTTGAAGTGACTTCTTGTGTTGTTTCTTCTGCAGTACATACATATGAGTCAAAGAAAGGGTTGTTAACTATGTCATTTGAATTTCCACTGTCCACGTGGCCTACAGATTTCTCTATGGAACAGAAGGATAAGATTTTTAAGCTATTGAAAATTATTGAGAAATCTATTAATGTTCATGTCTCCTCTTAACTCTAAGTTTTTTTCCCCTTAAAGCACAAAATTTTAGAAGAAATGACAAAAAAAGAAATAAAGAAAAAAAAAAGTTAAGCAGACACATTGCTTAATTTCCTTTGTGGAAATTAAAAGAAAATATATCATATGTTGGATAAAAGAAAATATATGTACATGATCAAAAACCTGGGGTCATTCTTTGTGGCCAAGAAATTTAATGGCCTTTCCACCAAACAAACTTTCACTGTTCGTCATATAATCATATTTCATGCAAGGTGGTGCCTACTTGGGCTTTTTATTTTGGAGTAAAATTCAAAAAAATTTAAATTCAAGTTATAATTTTATTTAAGTTTTTGTTTATAAAATTTGTGTTTGGGCTTGAATTTTAACTCGAGGTTTTGAGTTTGGGTCTAAAATCTGAGTTCAAATTTTTCTTTCTATTAAGATTTATAAATATTAAGATGTGTGCCATTAATAGTTTTATATTTAAATAAAAATGAGTGGGGGTTAATTAGCAGTGTTGGTTTAGAACTTTAATTAGTACGTCCCAACATTGTTAGGATGCATAAGGCCTTCTGTAAGTTTGTAGGGTACCCAAAAAATAGAGAGAATGAGATTCAAGAGTTGAGGATATTTAATAGATTTAAAAGAACAAAAAAACTCACATAAAGTCCCAGTTTCTATTAGAGTAATTAAAATGTAGAAAATGGGATTCGCGAGTAGAAAATGTAGAGTAATACCATCCCGGTTCTCTTAAATAGAATTTGTGGGCGATATTGTGTGACATATACCATTCTTCTTGACAACTATATATATGTCATCTAAATTGCTATATATATATTACACCTCTTGTGTCACAACCAACAGAGTGCTGTCTTTAGCATAGGACGGCACGTGATATGGATGCCCACCTTAACGGGAAGGGGGTTGTCTTAAGTCTGCGACTTCCTCCCCATAGGTGCCATGGGGTCAGGAGCGGTATAATCAGTCCTTGCTTTGGTTCTTACTCTATCCTTCTTTGCACGCCCTGCTAAGTACCTTGCCATCTTAAGCTTTTTTTTTTTGTGGATTTCTCCTCCTAGTCGATTTACTAGACTGCTTTCTGTTAAAAGGCTAGGCTCCTCTTAAAAGGCTACGCACCTCTTATTCGGTATGAAGTTTCTTTGATTACTCTAAGACATTGATTCTAAGGAAAGGCAGAACTGCAGCCCAATGTGAAGTTATAGGAGCTGAAAGGCATCCACCGTATAGGCAAGGGTGAATATCATATCAGATTCTGGGATCTGAGATAAAGAGATAACGCACTTATGTTACCTGGCACTCATAAGCCCCTGCTGATACAGGGGAAACGAAGATAGGTTCATTCAGGAAACCACTACTGTACCAAACAAGGAATTTACGGAAAAAACCGCTATTCTAATGGTTTTTGCCAAAAGAACGGAAAGCGCAACCGCTACTGGTTAACGAATTTACGAAGGGTACACCTATGTTGATCTACCGCACTTTGAACAGAACCCCGGATAGGTGCATCTTATACACCGAAAGAGACAAAGCAGAAGTTCAAGCTAGCTATAAGAAAAAGATTCCTTCTTTCATTTCACAAGAGAGCCGCCTCCTTAGGCATTCACCTTAGAAAAAAAAGTAGGTTCCATGGTCTCAAGTGCATTCACGCTTTTCTTCCTTAGCTTAGGAAGACGACTATATTTACACAAGGCATGCCAAAACAAAAAGTTTTCGTGTTGATTCGATAAGCTTGTAGCGGGCGGGGTTCAGAAGAGAATCATCCTCACCCCGAAGTTAGGGAGAAGTTTGATCCGAGGCTTCCTTCTCTCCCATTAGCTGTAGAGCATCCAGTTCAAGCAGAATCCTAACTTGAGGATGGCACCTTCTTACCAAAATCCATTTACCCTGTCGTCTGGAACTAAATCAAAAAGAAATTCCCTTTTGCCTGGTGTGAACTACGCCCCCTTCCGAGAACAGATGAATGCTACTGACTTTGGTTCTTTCACCGAGTGTTGGATCCTTCTACTAGCCCTTAAAGAAATAGCCATTCTAGCATCGCGTATTCCTCCAACTCCAACAATGGATTCTTCTTGCTTTGGCTGATCTGATCACAGAAGCAAAAAAGGCTCTTCCTGATGTGAGATTTACTGGTATGAAAGTAGCTAGAGAGGGAGGAGAGCAGTAAAGACTAGCAACGGATTCTTTCAAAGAGAAAGATCGGATTCTATACCAGCCCTTTCTCTCCATCTCAGAAGGCTGGTCCGCCATGAAGAAGAAGGAGCTGTGGCATCTCTGAAGAAAATGGATGCAATCCCTCTCCATCGGGCAGATCGTTAAAACATCTTGGAAGGGGAGGTCTTCCACCTGCTCTTAGAACTGACAAAGCACGGCACATACTGGAATTCTTGGTCTTCTATCTGATGGGTCACCGCGATTGATATCCATTTCATTTACTAACTAGTACATTAAATGCACCACTTTCAAAAAAGCCCCTACCCCCTGGGTATATTCAAATTACCAACTAGAGAAAGGCAGGGCAGCAGCTCTCCAACCCCACTTGAGTCCCGGCCCTTCCCACCTACAGACAGGAGCGAGCGAGATTGCTTGTTGCGCGCTTAAGACGGATGGCTTAAAAAAATGACCCTTGGTCCAATAAGACTTTTTGAGGATTGGCCTATAAAGCTTTTGGGGAGACTAGTTAGATAAGGTGAACTTCCCTGGGTGAAGGAAGTGCATAAGGTAATCCAATTGGAAAAACCTTACTGAACGTGAGGATGTTATGTCGACTTAATCAGTGGTTGAATATGTGTTATGTCGGCTTAGCCAGAAGTTGAAGATTTCGATGGTCTAGCCCGAAATGGGATTGAGAAGTATCTAAAAAGGCGAGCTTGGCTCAGGAGCAGATCAAGGGAAGAAGCAAAAGGTTGTTAGGCTGTTTGATTCTTGCTCTTGAGGGTAATTAAATTCTTCGTGAGGCTAGTAAATGGAGTCCTGAACTAGCTGCTGCTTGTGAAGTATTGAAGGAAATCCAATTTGAATTCGAAGCAATGGATACTTTGTAATCCAGCAATTACTGTTCCTTTTTTTAACTTTTTGTGTTGTTTCTTCTGTTGTACATACATAAGAGTTAAAAAAAAGGGTTGTTAGCTATGTCATTTGAATTTCCACTGTCCACGTGGCCTACAGATTTCTCTATAGAACAGAAGGATAAGATTTTTAAGCTATTGAAAATTATTGAGAAATCTATTAATGTTCATCTCTCCTCTTAACTCTAAGTTTTTTTCCCCTTAAAGCACAAAATTTTAGAAGAAATGACAAAAAAAGAAATAAAGAAAAAAAAAAGTTAAGCAGACACATTGCTTAATTTCCTTTGTGGAAATTAAAAGAAAATATATCATATGTTGGATAAAAGAAAATATATGTACATGATCAAAAACCTGGGGTCATTCTTTGTGGCCAAGAAATTTAATGGCCTTTCCACCAAACAAACTTTCACTGTTCGTCATATAATCATATTTCATGCAAGGTGGTGCCTACTTGGGCTTTTTATTTTGGAGTAAAATTCAAAAAAATTTAAATTCAAGTTATAATTTTATTTAAGTTTTTGTTTATAAAATTTGTGTTTGGGCTTGAATTTTAACTCGAGGTTTTGAGTTTGGGTCTAAAATCTGAGTTCAAATTTTTCTTTCTATTAAGATTTATAAATATTAAGATGTGTGCCATTAATAGTTTTATATTTAAACAACAATGAGTGGGAGTTAATTAGCAGTGTTGGTTTAGAACTTTAATTAGTACGTCCCAACATTGTTAGGATGCATAAGGCCTTCTGTATGCCTGTAGGGTACCCAAAAAATAGAGAGAATGAGATTCAAGAGTTGAGGATATTTAATAGATTTAAAAGAATAAAAAAAACTCACATAAAGCCCCAGTTTCTGTTAGAGTAATTAAAATGTAGAAAATGAGATTCGCGAGTAGAAAATGTAGAGTAATACTATCCCGGTTTTCTTAAATAGAATTTGTGGGCGATATTGCGTGACATATATCATTCTTCTTGACAACTATATATATGTCATCTAAATTGCAATATATATATATATATATATATATTTTTTTTTCCTGATCATATAAGTTGCAGTTATAACATGCATCATGTGGCAATTAGGATTCAACAACCTTTCGATTATATTAATTCTCTCAATCAACGAACGCAACATCGCTGGTGATAATTCCTTTTCGTAATAATTTATTGATGCTCTCAGCATGGACTTTGCGCGCCAATTATAGCTGTTAAAGAATGATATATATCTCTCTAGTTAATCTTGTATATTCAAGGACCGATCTTTTGATGGGTCCTTAAACTATTACGGCAAATTTCACAACTTAACTCGTATAAACTTAAAAGGAAGAACATTACTAGACATTTCATATCTTTGTTAGAATTTATGACGAAATTTAATAAGGTCGACAAAATATACATTTGTACGAGCATTAATCGTTATACTTGGTATTTAAACTTGATCATTTATCTAGCTAGTCTCGTTTTAGTCCCTTTTTCCGTTAATCATGTCTAAAGAAGTTTGAATGATGATGAGAAAATTTCAATTAAGTTAATTTAGGGACAAAACAAGACTTTTGCAAGAGATCATAAAGACTAACAATACAATTAATCCTAAATTTGATTCCGGCAATTCGAACATAATATGTTCTCGAGGCGGTAAAATTATGATT